CTCCACACCTCTTCTGGCTTCTGGTGGCCCCAGGCATTCCTTGGCTTGTGGCAGTGTCACTCCAGTCTCTGTATCCGTGTTCACATGGCCTTCCCTGTGTTTGCATGTATCCTTTCCTCCTTTTATAAGGACACCAGTCATTGGATTAAAGGTCCCTCCTAATCTAGTATGACTTCCTCTTAACTAATTACATGTGCAAAGACCCTATTTGCTAATAAGGTCACATTCTGAGGTTCTGGGGGAACATGATTTTGGGAAGACACTATTCAACCAGTACACATGTATTCCTATAAAAGGGAAGCAAGCAGGGCCAGCCCTGTGGCCTAGTGGTTGGGTTCAGTGCACTCTGCTTCAGTGGCCTGGGTTAGGTTCCTGGGCATGGACCTACGCCACTCGCCAGCAGCCATGCTGTGGCAGCAACCCACATACAAAACAGAGGAAGATCAGCACAGATGTTAGCTCAGGGACAATCTTCCTCAAGCAAAAAGAGGAAGATTGGCAACAGGTGTTAGCTCAGGGCGACTCTTCCTCAGAAAAAAAAAAAGGGCAGTGGAAGCAAGGGAGATTTCACACACACACAGAGGAGAAGGCGATGTGAAGACTGAACAGAGAGAGATGTGAAGGTGCTGGCCTTGAAGACTGGAGTGATGCTGTCACAAGCCAAGGAAGCCTGGGGCCACCGGAAGCTGGGAGAGGCAAGGAAGGAGCCTTTGGAGGGAGTCTGCCCTGCTGACAGCTTGATTTCAGCCAAGTAATACTGATTTTGGGCTTCTGGCCCCCAGAACTGTGAGAGAATAAATTTCTGTTGTTTTAAGCCACCAAGTTTACGATAATTTGTTACAGCAGCCACAGGAAACTAATAGCCCCTTTGTGGGCCTGCAGGAGATTTCTGGGGGGTGTACCCAGAAGAGGGATTGCTGGGTCAGTGTGGACACGGACACTTGATCTGGCCAGATGCTGCCAGGTGGATTTCCAAGGCAGCTGCATCAATCTAGCTGGACTCTCCCCAGTCGCACACAATGGTTCCCCTTTCTCCATATCCTAGCCAACATTTGGCATCATATAGCTGCTTTTTGCCAATCTGACATGTGTGTATCCTATCGCATTGTTTTAATTTGCATTTCTCTGATTACTAACGAAGCTGAGCATCTCTTCACATACTTACTTGCTAGCCTTTTGGGTTTCTCCTTCTGGGAATTGCCTATTCATATGCTTTGCTCATTTTCCTGTTAGGTCTTTTTCTTGTTGGTTTGCAGAATTTTCTTGTATATTTTATCCATTAATCCCTTGTCTGCTTTAAACAGCAAATAACTTCTCCCCATCTGTCATCTGTCTGTTAACTATCTGTGGTGTCCTTCATGGAAAGAAATCCCTAATTTTGCTGTAATCAAATTTATCTAAAGCAAAGCTGCCAACAGAGGGGTGGACTGGTCAGGGGCTGTTGTGCAAACAGAGTAAGTGCTTGTGTGTGTGTGTGGGCACGTGCGTACATATGTGTGCAACCCGGGCCACACATGAGCATGCATCTCTAACTGAATGTCACCCCCCAGGGATCAGTGTATTGCCCACTCTTCAGGATAAACGGCTCCCCTGCTCCCTCTGCTAACAGAAACTGTCTGGCACAGTGGTTCTCAGACTTCACCGTGCACTAGAATCACCCAGAGGGCTTCTTAAAACCCAGATTCTTGAGCCCACCCCAGAGTTCCTGAGTTAGTGAGTCTGGGGTGGGTCCCGAGGATTTGCATTTCTGATAAACTACTAGGCGATGCTGATGCTGCTGGCCCAGGGATCTCACTTGGAGAGCCACTCATGAGCACACAGGGAAGGCCAGTGTGTGGGTTCAGAGGCCATGCCATCTTGCAGCTGGTCAACCAGCAGTAGAAAGTCTGGAGAGGATGGGATAGTGGCTTATAATCAGCTGAGTGCCAGTGCTCAAAGGAACCCCAGGGGCCACCCAGGCCAAAAGAATTCACAGAGGAGGAAAATGAGAACCAAAGGGGTCAGTGACTTGACCATGGTCACACTGGTGGCCAAGTCTAGACCGCCTGCTCAGCGCTCTTTTCATTTCTTGGCACACGCACACCCCAAAATTACTCTCTTAGGACATACACATGTCCCCTCAGAGCATGAGGACTTGTTTGTGAATGGCTGAGGGGACTCCTAGCAGCCACCCTGTAGTGTTCATCACGAGCGCACTGTCATCACAGTTGGTCCAGCAGAAAGAGGCCAAGAAGTACCTAGAAAGCATCCGCGTGACACAGCAGTCCTGCTGTCACCCATTCCTTCCTTTCTTGGGCAGCACCGGGTGTGTATAGGAGGGGAGGGTGGGGGTGGTGGACAGGGAGGTGTAGACAGGGCCCCAGCAGAGGTTCCATCCGTGCTTACCTCTCCCACTCATAGCTGACAGCAGGCTTCCTCCCTGCCTCTCCCTCCCGCTGCACTCCTTCCTCCCTTCTCCCCTCCCCAGAAGGAAGGCAAAGAGACTCAGGCCCAGCCTCCTCCTCTACCTGGGCTGGCATCAAAGAATAGAAGGAGAGCAGGAAAGGCTGAAGGCAAGTGAAGCAACCCTGGTTCTCTACCCAGCTCAACTAGGAGAGGCAGTGGGGAGGGCAAGAGAAGGGTGCCTGGGGATGGAGGGAAGTAGAGAGGGAAGGAGGAGGAAGGGAAAGGGAAATAGAGGTAGGAGGGGAGAGGGGAGGTTGAGAAGGAGAATGAAAGAGAAGGAGAAGGAGAAGGAGGGAGGGAAAAGGAGGGAGAGAGAGGAAGGAAATAGAGGAGGAGGGAGGGGAACAGGTAGGAGAAGACCCAAAGGGGGGAGGGGAAAGGGGAGGGCATATGAAGAGGGAGGGACATAGAGGGACCAGGTTTGGAGAGGGAGTGGCCCGAGGTGGCTTAGCCAACAGGGACTCCCCCAGGATGCCTGCAGGGAGGCAGTGAATGAGGGGGAGGGCCCTGGGGTCCCAGCCACAACAGGCACTAGGAGGCTAGTTCAACATCAGGAGGAGATGGGAAATGCTTTGGAAAGGGTGACATGCTTTCTGGAAAAGAAGCAGCACAGCAGGAGGGTCCTGACACCCTTGCCATCCCCTGCTCCACCCCCACCCCCACCTCTCCACCCCACCTTGCAGCTTCCCAGGTCCCAGCAAAAAGTTGGCCAGGCTGGGGAGATTGGCAGGGCATTCAGAGACCCCCGTGCCAATCCAATCTTCCACTGCTCACTGGGCGCACTGGGCGCCCGCCTGCACCAGGCCCCAGCTGGGCTCAGTAGTTGGTGCTCAGCCACGGCCAAAGGGCTGCTGTGGGACCTTAGCCTCACCGCGGCCCTTACGTCAGGTGGTGGGGAGCAGGCCAGGGAAAGCGGGCAGGAGGACGTGGCCCGGAGTGACCCTGAAACCTCCTGGCCTGCCAGCCTCTTGTCTCCAGAGCCTCCCTGGCTGCCCACAGCCCCAGCAGCTGCCACCACCACCTGCCCCTGAGCCCTGCTGGCTGCCCCAGGAACCCCACAGGATCTCCTGCAAATGGACTCCTGGGAACCTGGGAAGAACTTTCACGTTCTCTCTCTCTCTCTCTCCACCATTTGCCAGGCACTGAGCTGGGCATGGGGGCTTTCTCCACATGGAGACAGGGACCTGTTATTTCCATGGTGGGGAGGGTTCCAGCACTGCCCCAGCTTTCTCGAGTTTCCCCAGATCCTGTCTTCCCTGGCTCCCCTAGCGCTGCTCTGGCAAAAGTTCCTGGCTGACTCCCGACAGTCTCTCTTCCAGCAAACTGTCAGGCCAGCCGGGCCTCTGGGCCTTCAGCACACACTGCCCGCATGGGAGCCTGCCGAAATCACATCCTGCAAGTCTCAGAGCCCTGACGATAGCCCTCCCTTGAACCCCATCCCACCCCCACCACCCCCACCTACTACACCACATTGACCACCCCGCCCAGCCCAGCCGTCTGTGCTCTCTCCACCTCCTCACATCCCACCCCATCTCAAGCCCCAGCCCCGGGCCTGAAATAGCCCTCTAAGCAGTCCTCCTGAGCAGGCAGGCACTGTCATCACCCTGCTCGTATGGCCGCTTGCTGTCTCCCAGCTTCCGGGACACTATGCTCCCCCTAGTTTTCCTCCCCGCTTCCTAGCTGCTTCTCCTGGTTTCAGTCAGACTCCTCCTCCTTAACCTGTCCCTTACAAGTCAGCTTCCAAATAACAAGTGTTGGAGAGGATGTGGAGAAATCAGACCCCTCATTCACTGCTGCTGGGAATGGAAAATGGTGCTGTCACTGTGGAAAACAGCCTGGCAGTTCCTCAACAAGTTAAACATGGGGGCCAGCCCCGTGGCATAGCGGTTAAGTGCGCACGCTCCGCTGCTGGCGGCCCGGGTTCGGATCCCGGGTGCACACCACTGCACCGCTTGTCAGGCCATGCTGTGGCGGCATCCCATATAAAGTGGATGAAGATCAGCACAGATGTTAGCCCAGGGCCAGTCTTCCTCAACAACAAGAGGAGGATTGGCATGGATGTTAGCTCAGGGCTGATCTTCCTCCCCCCCCGCAAAAAAAAACAAGTTAAACATGGAGTTCCCATATGACCCAGCATTTCCACTCCCGGGTATACACCCAAAAGGTCTGAAAACAGGGACTCAAGGATTGTCCACCAAAACAGGGATTGTATATGAATGTTCATAGCAGCACTATTCATCATAGTCAAAAAGTGGAAACAACTCAAATGTCCATCAACCAATGAATGATAAACAAAATGTGGTCTACTCATTCAATGCAATTTTTTTTCAGCCATACGAAGGATTGAAGTACTGCTACATGCATGGTACAACATGGATGAACCTTGAAAACATTAAGTGAAAAATTCAGTTTGCCAGGGCTGGGGGAGGGAGGATTGGAAGTGACTGCTTAATGGGTACGGGGTTTCCTTTTGGCACCATGAAAAAGTTGTGGAATTTGATAGAGGTGGTGGTTATACATCATCATGAATGTATTAAATGTCTCTGAATTGCACACTTTAAAATGGTTCATTTTGTTTTGTATATTCTGCCACTAAAATAAAATGTAAAAGAATGTAAATAGATAAATAAATGTAAAAGTAAAATAAAATGCATCCACCCCCTTTTGTTCTTGGCCCTTTTTCACTCCACATTCTTACTTTGCCTTCAAAATTCAGCTCAGGTTTTAGATCCTTGTGATGCTCTGCAACCTTGCCTCCCACCACTCTAATACTGTCTTTCCTCTCTGCTCACCCAGATCCTCTGTTCCCAGTGCCTGGAAGAAGCCTGGAATATAGTAGGTGCTCCATGCATATTCGGCTAACCAAGGAATGAACCAATGAATCTGGTCCCACTCCCTCTTGTTCAGATGGGGAAAATGAGGGCCCTCACTGATTTGCCCAAGGTCCCAGGGCTGGCCAGTGGCAGAGTGGAGACTAGGAACCTTGACTCCAGCCCCTCAGGTGGGTGCCTTTTCTATCCCAGCATGCCCCTTCCTTCCCACTTCTCAGCATCTTTTCCGGCCTGCCTGCCCTTATTGGTTCCTATTTCTCATCCCTGGCTGTTCCTGGGGGCTTGGACCAGATGGCCTCTGGGGTCTTTGGCAGCCCTGAAACTCAGGAGTTGGTGCTTCCTCCATCACATTCACCTCGCCTGCTACTAGTGATTGCACCCTAAGGAATCCTGCGAGACCCAAAGGCAACTGATGAATGGCTCCGGGCACCAAGAGAGCCAAGCCATGCTCAAGTCAATGCTGCCTGCGTGGGAAACTGCTGTGAACAGGTGGAACAGGGAACCTGAGAGTACCTGCTACTGCCCCGGCTCTTGAGGACTCAATCATCTCTCTCTGCCGAACGCTTTGAGCACAGCGAGTGCTGCAGCAGGAGTGCTCCGTTCTGTCCCCAGTGGAAGGGACACCCTGCCAGTCTCCGTGAAGTTAGCACAGCATAACTGCACCACCACAACTGTATGCTTCTACCCTGTTTGCAGAAAGGGCCCAGATATTGGGGCTCACAGAGAGGCCCCAGAAGCAAAACTCTCTGACTTAACTTCACTGCTGCATTTCTTCCTCTCCAGGCCACACTCCACCCCGGTGTGCTCAGCCCCCGAGGAAGAGGCCCTCGCCCAGGAGCTGGGTGCCTGGGCTCCTTGGGCAGCCCCTCCCCATCTCTGTGCCACAAGGGAGTGACGTGGCTTTCTAGAGTTCACCTCACACATTGGGGGGAAGCAGAGGGAAGGCAAGCAACAGATCAGAACTTAGGGCAGCCTTCCACTCTGGCCCCTGTACCCAGGGTGGCAGAAGAGTGTCAAGGGGCCATGGCTGAGGCACGGGGGCCACTTTAATGGCAGCTAGAGGAGGCCACAGGGTTTCAAAGGCTCCTACAAGCCTCCCACAGACCTAAATTCCACCATTAGAGATGTAATCCTTCGAGTTGAACATTGCCCTCTTCCCTGTCCCTCCTTTTAAACTCTGTAACAATATTTCTAACAATGCCTGGCATTTGTATAACATTAGACATCCCTACTTCATGGAGTCATTGCACTAATGCCAAGAGGCAGGATTACAAATCTGATTTTATCACTGCAGAGAAAAGGTCCAGAGAGGGTGATCGACTTACTCTCAGGAGCCCAGCTAGCCTAGTACTCTTGACCTGGGACTCATCTGTCTCTACTCCGTACTGTCCACGACTGATTGTAACACCTTCTTCCCCCAATATAGGGACAAGTAAACAATTAAATCCAAAACAAACCTTTGCTTGGGGACCCAGAATCCGCACAGAACCACGAGGTTTAGAGTTTAGAGTTCAAACTGCAATTTATTCAGCCAGCCCACAAACATTTCATTGAACACCTCCTGTGAGCTGGGCCCCAGACTAGGTACTTGGGGGTGTGGGAGGCTAAATAATGTCCCCCCCAAAGATATCCAGATCCTAATCCCTGGAACCTGTGAATGCTACTTTGTATAGCAAATGGGATTTCGCACATGGAGTTAGGTGAAGGATCTTGAGATAGGGAGACTGACCCCAATTATCCAGGCCTCCAAATGCAATCACATGTAGTCTTAGAAGAGAGAGATTCATGACACGCATGCAGAGGATAAGGAGGCCACATAAAGACAGAGGCAGAGATGGGAGTGATGTGGCCACAAGCCAAGGAATGCTGGCAGCCACCAGAAGCTGGATGCCACAAGGAAAGAATTCTCCCATAGAACCTCCAGAGGGAGCATGACTCTGTAACACCTTGATCTCTGCTCAGTGAGACTCATTTTGGACTTCTAGCCTCCAGAAATGTACGAGAATACATTTCTGTCTTTTTAAGTCACTAAGTTTGTGGCAATTTGTTACACAGCTACAAGAACAGGGCCCCGCCTCTTCCCTTCAGGCACACTGATGGATTAAGCTGATAAATTCTGCAACAGGAAGATAAGTGCCTGAATGCAGTCACCTCTCCCACAGTCCTAGAATGCTGTCCTGGGAACAGAGGCATTCTGGGAGGTCACCATTAACATATGATAAACCCAAAGCTGACCTTTTTCCCTCGCTGGGTCCCAGGTTGAGATCTGGATTTCCTATAACAGCTTCCTGGCCCTCCCCCACACCTTCCACTCTGGTATCAAGATCACAATTGAGTATAAAGGATGCAGAGGTTTCGTGGATTGATTACTCCTCTCAGGGACACTTGCCTGTTAACAGCTGCTGAATTCTCAGGTCAAACAATTGAGCCTAACGGTGGGAATCCAGGTCTCTGAAATCATTTGTTATCATCAGCCCAGCTGAGGTGGGTGGTAGTCAAGGGCAATGAGGTAAGGGACTCACCTTCCCTCTCCACTCCCTCGGTTGTCCAGTCTTGCTCCAGATGGAAAGACAGGAAACCCAGGTCTGGACTGAATTAGTTTGGTGTTCCCTCCACCCCACCAGGCAGACACATCTTTCCTCCCTGGAGCTCATTCTCAAAGTTTCTGCACAAGTCTCCCATGGGGATAGTGCCCATGGGGTGTTCAAACTCTCTAATAAGTCATCCGAAGGAAAGGTCAGCTGCCCTGTGAAAGTGACATTGAGACAATGAGATGCATATACTCCACCATTTTTCCCTCTTGGGCATTGCCTACCAGGAAGCTCAGAGCTGAACTTGATGTTCAATGACAGTAACTGTCTTCCTATTTACGTTTTGAATTTTTCTTTCTCCATCATCAGTGGCTTTGATGTGCATGAGTCTTTTTTTTTTTTTTTGAGGAAGATTGGCCCTGCACTAACATTTGTTGCCCATCTTCTTCTTTTTTTTTCTTTTTTCTCCCCAAAGCCCCAGTAAATAGTTGTGTATCATAGTTGTAGAGTTGTAGCTCTTCTGTATGGGACACTGCCTCAGCATAGCTTGATGAGCGGTGAGTAGGTCCGCCCCCAGGATCTGAACTGGTGAACCGCGGGCCACCAAAGCAGAGCGTGTGAACTTAACCACTACAAGACTGGGCTGGCCCCTGCATGTGTCTTTATTAGTAGCTTTTGGGAAGTAGTGGGATATAAAACAGAGATACTAATCAGAGACTGGGTGGCCATATGGAGATTGGAACCCAGGGTTTTTGCTTTCTAGACCAAGAGCCCCTTCGTGGATTTGAGCCCAGAGGATTCCACCACCAGGAGCCAGGGGCCAGGTCTGGGCTGCAGCTGGGCCAGCACCTCCCATTGGCTGGAACCTGGGCATCCCTGATCCCCCACACACTCTGGCTTGTGTGTCCCAGGGGCCCTTCCCTTTAGGTTTACTTCTGCCTGACAGTTTCAGGCTGGGACAAGGGACGGAGGGGAGTCTAGGCGACAGGCCAGGCAGCTTATGGATGATGCAGGAAGAAGTTGGGCCTTGGACTCTTTGCTCGGCTCCCTGCCTGGGAAAAGGAGCACACTGAGACAGGGCCCCAAAATCCTGTGGCCAGGGGCTTCTGTGAACAATCTCAGAGACCCCTCTGCAGCCCAGGGGCCATCGCAGAGGCTGCTGGTGGAAGAGTAATCAGAATAATGGTTCACAGTTTCCTATTTCTTATTATGTACTCAGCAATGTATAAAGCAGTTTGCAAGTATTGTCTCTTTGGTGGTTTCTATTATTTTCTCCATTTTACAGATAAGAAACCCAAGGCACAGAGAAGTTACATAACTTTTCCAAGGTCACACAACTAGGCTGGGGTGAGAAGCTGCCTGTCTCCCTCTGAATGCACCAGCCAGAAAACCAACAGAAGAGTGGGCTAACTACCCCTCCCCCACCAAGACGTCAGCAGCCTGGTCTGACTGGGGAGGTGGGAGCGAAGCATCACCAGTCATCTGAGATCACCTGCACAGGGGTCCCCCAGAGATCCCAGTCCTCTACGCTCTCTCTGTCCCTTTCTCTGAGGTCAAATGACAGGCACCAGCCTCCCAAGAGCCCTCAGTGGTCTTGGAAAGCCTTTTCTCTCTCTCTCTCTCTCTCTCTCTCTCTTTAATTGATGTCATAATAGTTTATAACATTGTGAAATTTTAGTTGTACATTATTGTTTGTCAGTTACCATATAAATGCGTCCCTTCACCCCTCGTGCCCACACCCAACCCCCTTCCCCCTGATAACCACCAAACAGTTCTCTCTGCCCGTGTGTTAGTTTATCTTCCACATATGAGTGAAATCATGTAGCATTTGTCTTCCTCTGTCTGGCTTATTTCAAATAACATAATACCCTCCAGGTCCATCCATGTTGTTGCAAATGGGACGATTTTGCCTTTTTTTAATGTCTGAGTGGTATTCCATTGTATATATATACCACATCTTTCTTTATCTAATAATTAGCCGAGGGACACTTGGGTTGCTTCCACTTCTTGGCTATAGTGAATAATGCTGCAATGAACATAGGAGTGCATAAGCCTCTTTGGATTGTTGATTTCAGGTTCTTTGGATAAATACCCAGTAGTGGGATACCTGGATCATACAATATTTCTGTTTTTAATTTTTTGAGGAATCTCCATACTGTTTTCCATAGTGGCTGCACCAGTTTGCATTCCCACCAGCAGTGAGTTAGGGTTCCCGTTTCTCCACAGCCTCTCCAACGTTTTGTTATTTTTTGTCTTGTTGATTATAGCCATTCTAACGGGTGTAAGGTGATATCTTAGTGTAGTTTTGATTTGCATTTCTTGATGATTAGTGATGTTGAACATCTTTTCATGTGCCTGTTGGCCATCTGTATATCTTCCTTGGAAAAATGTCTGTTCATATCCTCTGCCCATTTTTTGATCGGGTTGTTTGCTTTTTTGTTGTTCAGTTGTGTGAGTTCTAAGAGATTAACCCCGTGTCAGATATATGATTTGCAAATATTTTCTCCTAGCTCGTGGGTTGTCTTTTCATTTTGATCCTGGTTTCATTTGCCTTGCGGAAGCTCTTTAGTCTAATGAAGTCCCACTTGTTTATTTTTTCTATTGTTTCCCTTGTGTGAGTAGACATGGAATTCGAGAAGATCCCTTTACAACCGATGACGAATAGTGACTGCCTATATTTTATTCCAAGAGTTTTATAGTTTCAGGTCTCACCTTCAGGTCTTTGATCCATTTTGAGTTAATTTTTGTATATGGTGAAAGAAAATAGTCTACTTTCACTCTTTTGCACGTGGCTGTCGAGTTTCCCCAGCACCATTTATTGAAGTGACTTTCCTTTCTCCATTGTATGTTCTTAGCTCCTTTGTCGAAGATTAGCTGTCCATAGATGTGTGGTTTTATTTCTGGGCTTTCAATTCTGTTCCATTGATCTGTGTGTTTTAGTGCCAGTACCACGCTGTTTTGATTGTTATAGCTTTGTAGTATATATA